TTAACTTCTAGGGTTGTTATGGAAGACCACGTGTACTTTGTAAAATATTCCTAATGTCATGTAAATATGAGATGTTCTACTTAATCATTGCTGTTGTTACTTTGGGGAGGCCGCTTTATTTTAACATTTGTAGGATTGTTTATTGTTGTCATTTTTTTTCATTGCATTGTTCTGGAACTACACAGGATCTGGAGAAGAAGTCCAGGTGCTGGACAAAGACAATACGACCTTCCTCAATCAGGGTAGTGCCAATTATTCCAACCAACCAGTGGATCTACACGGAACAAACCAATTGGGACAGAGAGGATGAGAGAGACTTGGAGTAAATATAATTTCTATGAGGTGACTACCAGCAATCAGTGCAGTGAGGTCCAAACAAGAGAGGCCAACTACGGATAATAAATGTATTAAATGTTGGGCTCTTCCTCGCTTTAAATTCCAGCAAAGAGGGAGAAGAAATAATGACAAACCAGTAGGCGTGCTTGATTATGAGTGAGGCTGGTGCCTCATAAGGAGAATAGAGAAAGGGAAGAGCTGCAGAGAGGGCAGGAATAGATACTGGGAAAAATTGGATGACTCCGCAGGTTTTATCTTCATCTTTCATAGAGATGTCCTAGCAAATTGGAAAATTCTAGAGACTCACCCTCAGCTTATAATTTTTTTTTGGTCGATTAGTTATGTCTGACTCTTCATGACCCCATTTGGGATTTTCTTGGTAAAGATCCTGAAGTGGTTTGCCATTTTCTTCTCCAAATCATTTAACAGATGAGGAAACTGAGGCAAACAGGGTTCAGTGACTCTCCCAGGGTCACACAGCTAGTAAGTATCTGAGGCCAACTTCAAACTCAGGTCTTCCTGACTCCAGAGCTGGCACCTTGATCCACTACCCCACCTGGCTGCCCCTGTAATAGCTAGCACTTATATAGCACTGTTACATATGCTATCTCTCTTGATCCTCATAAAGAGCCTTATGAGGTAGATGCTATTATCATGCCCATGTTATAGATGAAGAAACTGGGACTGACATGCGGTAAGTGCCTTGCTCAGGATGGTACATTCATAAGTGTCTATGGCAAGATTCAAACTCAGATCTTCTTAACTCCAAACCTGGTGCTCTATCCACTGTACTCCACAACCCTGTTGATTGTACTGTGATTTAAGTGACTGTACAATTGGAGGGAATCTAAGTTGCGGCACTTGGGAGGTGTTTTTTGAACCTTTGGGGTGAGGGGGCAAATTCCTTGAGAGTTGGGGTTTCATGCTGGTGTAAAACTCTCCCATTTAGGAAGTATCAAGTACTTAGAAGTGAGGAAACACAAAATGCCATGCTCCCACAGTCTACATCAACTCATGAGATTTAAGGGGTGCCCAATCTTCATGTCAATGTCCACAGAGAGATTCTGGTTTTTTTTTTTTGTTTGTTTGTTTGTTTTTTGCTAGACAATGGGGTTAAGTGACTTGCCCAGGGTCACACAGCTAGTAAGCTTTATGTGTCTGAGGCCAGATTTGAACTCAGGTCCTCCTGAATCCAGGGCCGGTGCTCTATCCACTGTGCCACTTAGCTGCCCCCCCCAGAGAGATTCTGAATGGTCACTTTGCAGATGTCATTGTGCAAAGGTTTGGAAGATGGACAAAGAAAACTGGCATTCTCATAATTTTCAGATTGGAAAACAGCCCGTGGAAAGAGGGTCCTGGGGCATTTACCTCTAGGGTGAGGAGTGACTGAATTTGAGAGAGGGCTTGAATGAAGCAGTGAAGGGCATGAAATTGAGAGTATGCAGAGGGCTTTAAGCTTAATGGTTGCTCTGATCTGCAAAAGTCTCTTTCATTTTTCTTCTTTTAATAAAATGTTCATCTACCATCGTGACCTTTGATCATACAAATAAAAAGTAGGTCTCAACACAATTAGAGGTTCCATGACTACATATTTTAAGGTTTTCTGGGTAAGGCGTATGAGTCAAGAGAGTGGCAAAATGTGGACCAAGTGCCACATATCCCGAGACATGACTATTTAATTATAGCTCAATTATGTGCAGTTCTTTGCAATTTGTAGCAAGTTGATGACTTGGCAGAGAAGAAAAAATTATACTAGATATGATGCTAGGGGGGAGGAGGGAGTTGAGATGAGCAGGTTATTTTTCTTTGCTTTTCCATTTGGCATCTTGGGATCATACTGTGCAGATATCAAAGTTGTGATATGGCCCTGGTCAATATACTGTGGTGTGGGTCATCCCCTACTGCTACTGAGCTCTCTCTCTCTCTCTCTCTCTCTCTCTCTCTCTCTCTCTCTCTCTCTCTCTCTCTCTTTCTCTCTCTCTCTCTCTCTCTCTCTCTCTCTCTCTCTCTCTCTCTCTCTCTCTCTCTCTCTCTCTCTCTCTCTCTCTCTCCTCTCTCTCTCTCCTCTCTCTCTCTCTCTCTCTCTCTCTCTCTCTCTCTCTCTCTCTCTCTCTCTCTCCGTCTCTCTCTCTCTCTCTCTCTCTCTTCTCTCTCTTTCTCTCTCTCCTTGATACCCCCAATAAAATTTACCCATCCCATGCACCATTCCTTTATCTTCATGTAGCACTTTAGAACTAGCCTCCCTCTCCCAGAGCAAGGTAGGCCTCATCTATCCTCTCAGAGACCTACAGACATCTCCAATCTGATCCTAGTGGCTTGAGCCCACATGCACGTAGCTGGTAGTGATTAGCAATCTGGTTGCATTTAACCAATCAGCATTAATTAGCTTTTACAAAGGGATTTTGCCTCTAACACACAGCAAAAAACAGAAGTTACAAGCACTTCATTCCTAATCATTCAAGGGCACACTCTCCCACTCTCCTTTATACAACCTCAGATCCTGGTGAAAGTGGGCTTATCGTTCATGTAGTTTCTACATAGATTGATCCCATCGAGTTCACGCCCAAATGTGCCATGATTTCTGGATGAGCCTCTTTCTTAGCTCCACCTCAAAACTGTGTTAGCCAGACCCTGGCGTGGCCTTTACTCTCAGACCTCCTGATGGCTTCTTTCCCTAACCTTTTGAAACTCACAAAGTTAAGTATAACAGCTGCTCATCTCTTAACCCAAAGGGCAAACACTGAGACAAAGAAGCAATGCCCACCTGAACAGGCCACCTGTCAGCCTTGAATGGCCACTGCCTTTTCAGCATCATCTCTTTGCCCTCACTGGATCGGTGCCAGGCAAGAAGAAGAGAGCTTCAGAGGAGGAGGAGGCTCTGGACAATCAGTTTCTTTTGAAGTCATCCCATGTTCTGGTGGGTAGTCATTCAAAGTGGCTCAACTTTACCACCTGGATTGCAGATCGGAGCTTGTTACAAAATGCTGAAACATGCTCAAAAGTCCAAGTGGGGATTGCATCAGCAGGGAACGGGGCACATGCTTATAAGGTCAGTCCCCTGTTATCCTTGGCATGTGTTCTCAGCTTCATATCGGCTCTAGGTGAGAGAAGGCCCATCCCCAGCTATATTTTTCAGCACATTTCCTACTGTCCAAAGAAGAAAAAGCATATATTAACATTATGCTAAATATAACATATTATAATGTTATACATATTCATACACATGCACATGTATACATATATGCATGTGTATATGCATACATGAATTGTATGTTATGTAACATATTTATATAATGTATAGTATATCATATATAATACGGGTGTGCATACATATACATACGCAGATACACATACACATACATATACCTATGTATGAATTAGAAGTAAGGAGCTAAGAGATGGAGAAAACCCTGCCCGGTCATTTGAACGGTTAGGTACTGCCATGTTGTCAGGTTCTCACTCAGAATATGAGAATTTAAAGGGACCATCCCATCTGTTCTGTTCTATGCCCTCATTCATTCAGTACTGAGTATTCCATGACGGTCAAGGTAACAGCATAATGGAAAGATTTTAGGATTTGGTACCTGGTGAGATGGTGGTTCAAATATTGTCTTTAACACTCTCCATATGACTCTGTGTTAGTCACTTCACCTCCAGCCTCAGCCAAAAGAGCCCTCGTATTTGGGACTGAGTATGACTAAGGGTTACACGCGTCTGCAATCAGCACTTGTTCGTCCAAGGTTGTGCACATGTCTCTCCTTTTAATAAAACTGCTTTCCATATATAATGGGGGAGGGGCTGCCCAAAGAGAGGCCAGGCCTTAGGAGCACGTTTGCCCTTGGTGTAACCACCCATGTAAACTTCGGAGCAAATGCAGGTATGCAGTGATTGTTTCCTGTCAGCTTGCTGAGTAGTGAAAAGAGTTCTCCTTGATTGGCCACTGAGCCAGAATTTAGTGTGCATGCAAAAGTCTCTCCCAGGAGCAACTCAGGCTCTTTATTTCCTGGTGGTGAGTGAGGCAAGGACTGCTGAAGCTTTGACACTGGAAGAGAGATAGTAGCATCAGCTATCTTCCCCCACCCCGACATGCGATGATGAATATGGCACTTCCGTTCTTCACCTGTTTGTATTTGCTCATTCCTTCTCTTAGACAAAGGGATATTGAAGACAGAGAATGGACCAGACTGAAACTTTGTGACCTGTGAAAGACTGAGAAAGCCACCAGAATTCCAGAAACTAGAGTCCATAGGAGGGCTCATCAGCAGCTGAGTTGAGAAGTGCTAGTGAGGCTACGAGGGAGGATGCCTAACCCAGCCTAATGGGGGATTGACTCCAAAATGTTGTGTCCTGCTGCATAGAGGGATCAGATCTATCCATGAGCTACGCCACATTTGAAAGTGACTGTGGGGGGGGGGGTGGTTGCTCTGTAGCTGCTGATCTATGTGGGAGAGCACAATCCCCAGGGACCCCAGTGGTCTAAGGAAAAGTATGCTCCAGATTTAGAGGGATATTTTGTATTTTCTGTTCACGCTACATATTCTCACTAAATATCTTTTCTTTTTGCAGAAACTAATTGATGTTAATTAGCTAAATGTTACTGAGGTGCTAATCAATGTTGTTGATGATAGGGCCACTGCCATTGTTTAGGTGATATTGAAGAAATAACTGGTGATTGATATGCGGCTGCATACCAGAACGAGAGCTCGTGATGACTGAATTGGAGAAAATGCCCCACATATTCAGAGGTACCTCTGCAACCCTGAAGGGGAGATGTCACCTTTCTCTTGGGACCCCACTTGCCAAGAAGAGTGGGAGCTGAGACAAAGATGCCCTGAGTCTATGATTCATGTGCCTTCTACTAATCTGACTTGCCAATGAGAAGGGGAATTGGATAGATTGCCCAGATTTTATAAAGGCTAAAAGTGGGAGGGGGTCAGTTGCTGTATCCTGGGGGAGGGGACTGGAGGATGGTGCATCCCATATAGTTTCCCAGATTTTCTATGAGACAGAATGAGAAAGTCCCTCAAAGAATACCTGGGCTCTTTGAGTCATGGTAGAGCCTCTGGCACAAGGTTATAGGAGAAAGAAGAGCTGCTAAATGATGGTTCTCTCAGGGGCTCCAAAATACTTAAAGTAAAACATTTTGAGGTTCAAATAAAACAAAAACTGAACAAATTATCTAAGGAAAATATGCCAAGCCAAGCTGATTTTTTTATTCCCCTGGAAAACTTACTCTCAAAATTTCCTTTAAACCATGCCTTGACGACATTCTTTTCCAATTACAATATACTTCTCCAAAAGCCATGATTTCATCTGTGTGGATAATTAGCTCCACTGATGCTGTTCACAAAGGCTTGGAGCCTTAGGAGATGGTTTCACGAGTTCTTGTGGTCATAAAGAAATTTCACCACCTGCTTGCCAACCTACTGTCGATGAGACACTCTGAACACAGCTACTTCAGGCCTCAGGTGATGGATTGTATGGACCAAGTCCGTGGGAATTACAAACTGTAATCAGTTACCATGTGTTTCCATCCCAGTAGACACACACACTTAGATACATGTACACATGTACACACACACACCAGAATAGTTGTGGCAAGCTGGCTGAACCAGTGGTCATGACTAAGCTGAGTTCTTTTCCCTTTATCACTTCAGCACCAAATAAGGTAAGAGAACAAAAGAAAGATGGAGCAGAGGAAAGAGATCCTATGGAGGACAACTACCATAAAGAAAAAACAAAAGACTGACTCGAAAAGTGAGTATTTTTTAAAATCCTCATTAAAATTGTTACAAATTTTGAAGAAACATCTCCAAAAGAATAGAGCAATAAAATAAGAAACCCAGAAGCCAAATGTAATTTACCATGGCAAGTTTCAGAATTGGCAGTTCCAAGAAACTGGGCTGAAAAAAACTAGTGAACTGGAAAGCAAGAGCTGTTTGGTCATTTGAGGAGCTAGGGATGGAAGTGCAGATCTGAGAGTCATCTTCATAGAAGTGATAATAAGCAAGAGCTTATCAGCAGGAGCTGACAACGTCCCCAAAAGACAGTGTCTAACTGAAGAAGAGGAAAGGACTCAAGAAGACCTGAAAGGAATGATCCAAAAGGGAATAAGAGAATGACAATAGGTAAGTGCCATTAAAATCCGGAGGAAAGACTATATAGAAAGAGAGGATGATCAACAGAACTAAAAATTGCAGAGGTCAGGAAGGAGAGGTGTGAGAAAGAGCCAATGGATTTAGACATTTAGAGACCCTTGATAACCTTGGAGAATGATGTTTCATTTAAATGGTGGGAACAGAAGACAGATTACATGGAGCTAAGGAGTGAGAAGTCAAGTGGTAGAGGCGATTAGTGTAGGCAGTTGATGTCCCCTCCCCCTTCCCTTTGATGCTAAAAGGCAGAAGGAATCTTGGACAGCTGGATGGGATGGAGGGTCAAGTGAAAACATTTGAAGGATAGGAGACACCTGGATGTGAATGTAAGCAGCAGTATTTGGTTTGTATTTATTATTTATTTACTTATCTGTTGTCTCTCCACAGCACAATGTAAGCTTTCTAAGGTGGAGGCCATTTGCCTTTTATCCCTCAAGCATCTCCACCCTGAGCACATGGGTATATTTGTTGACTTGACTTGACTTGAAGGTCAGGAGCAAAGAACCTGAGAGACTACTTCAAAACCCCCATAATTTTCCAAACCAACATAACCCTGCCTGCCCACTACTCCCTTTTACATGTTGGAAGACTCCACTGGAGTAGAACTTCTCTTAAGGGCAGAGCCCTTCTTGGCTTTCATATTTCCATCCCCAGTACTTAGTAAAGGAATTGCAACATAGTACACTTAATAAATGCTTTTTCCATTCATTCTTTTGTGTGTATATGTGAGTAGAGTGAGTGTAGGTGGGTCAAGCTGAGGAATGTGTGGGCAACACTTCCTGTAGACTGTCATCAGCATCATGACTACCCATGATTCTGGGGGGATGGATGATGAAGGCTGTATCCTGACACAGAGGTGACAAGCTCAGCATGCAGAATTCGACACACATCTTCAGATTCGGCCAGTGTAGACATTTGACTATGCCTATTTGTTTTTGTTTGTTTGTTTGTTTTGCTTTTTGGTGAGGCGATTGGGGGTAAGTGACTTGCCCACAGTCACGTAGCTAGTAAGTGTTAAGTGTCTGAGGCCAGATTTGAACTCAGGTCCTCCTGACTCCAAGACCGGAGCTCTATCCACTGTGCCACCTAGCTGCCCTATGCTTATTTGTTACATGGGTTTTGTTGTTCATTCTTGGGGGGGGGGGAGAGGTTATGGGAGAGATAAAAACACTAGCTGAAATACATAAAATTTAATTTAAAAGAGAAAAGCTTCACGCAGGAGACAGGACTTGATCTGTTGGTAAAATTTGGTTTTGATTTGGATAGGCAGAGTGGCACTGTGGATAGAGTGCTGGGTCTGGAATCAGGAAGACTAATCTTCCTGAGTTCAAATCTGATCTCAGACACAAACCACCTGGGTGACCCTGGGCAAGTCACTTAACCCTGTTTGCCTCAGTTTCCTCATCTGTCAAATGAGCTAAAGGAAGGAAATGGCAAACCACTCTGTGTCAAGAAAACCCTAAATGGGGTTACAAGTTGGACATGATTGAAAAATGGCTGAACAACAACAAAGAGAACAGGAGAGAGGTGTTTTTGTTTGTTTGTTTTCCAGAGACAAGAAGAGGGGAAAGAGTGAGCCAGAGCTCAAGGAGGTCACCTGCACAGGATATATAACCACTACTCAGGGAGCACATTCGGGTCCTGGATGGGAGCAGTTGGAAAGGAGGAGATAAGTTTGGAGTGCTAGATTGGAGCCAGACTGGGAACAAATATTCCATAATTATCCTTAAACCACAGGCTTGTGCCCACTTAAAATATTCTCCATTAAAACATGTCTATTTTTAAAAGCCTTTGAGCAAATAAAATCCCCATGGGGATCTAGGCATAAAGAAAAGTAGAAATGCTAATTGGCATTTCCATCTCTAGCATCAAGAAAGACCCAGCTCCCCCAGTGGGATTATACTGACAGAGCCCCAAACCCTTCAACCTCAATGGTGACTCTTAATAGGTATGAACTTTGCTAAATGAGCCATTTTAAAGGACCCTAAAGGAGATAGGAAGGCAATCAGGCCAGAGGAGAGGGACCTCCCACTCATGCAGGACCTTTGGAGGCCGTGGTTAATGGTGTTGGGAAGTGTTCAGCGAGGCTATTTTGTCTGACTGTGTAGCCAGCTTTACTGTTTCTGGTAAGAGCCCAGTAAGTTGTCCTATTTAGAAGTTTCTATGTTACACGTGAAAGGCAATCCTGTATAGTAAAGAGAGATCTCACCTCCAGAGCCAGGAAGAACTTAGGTTCAGTGAACATTCCTGTGACACTGGGCAAGTCACTCGGCCTATCGATGTGTCAGTCAACTCTTTAAGCAGAGAAAGTGGTGACCCAAATCAATAGAGCGATCTTCCTCACCTGGGAATTTCCTATGCCAGTATCTCAGTCCCCATCCTGCATACCATAAAACCTTAGACTTGAAAGGCCTTTAGAGGTAAAGGAGTCTTAGACCTTGTAACTGGAAGGATCCTTAGAAATCACTTCATTGAACCCCATCATTTTATCAAAAAGGAAACTGAGATCTAGGAAAGGGAAAGGACTACCCACAGACACACAGGTATTAAGTAGAAATGCAGGGGAATTATCCCAGGTTCCAGTCCAAGGTTCTTTTTGTGGCAACACGCTAAGGTCCCCTGGTCTGGTTTTCCTCAAGTTTCCACTATCTCTGGGAGATGGCCAAGCAATCTGCTTTGTGGGGAGAGGTTAGTTTTTTAAGAGACTGTGGTATAATGTCCTCATCCCAGCTTTGAAGCATTGATTGGGCTCTCCCCCAGCAGCATTGCATCTTGGGATCTGAATTACTGAGAATATAATGCACCAAATTGTTAAATAACTTAGAGACTCAGAGGTATGGCAATACAATATGAAGCAGAGTACCAGACTCAGAGGCAGGAAAGTCAGGTTCAAGTCCCAGTTCTGCCACTTGCTATGTGGCCTTGGGCTAGTCATTAACCTCTCTAAGTCTCAGTTTCTTTGTACATAAAATGGAAAAAATTTATTTTCACTGCCTTCTTTGTGAAGAAAATAGGGTTTTTTTTGTTTTTTTTTTTTTAGTATCTAGCGCTATAGAGATGGGAACTATTCCTTTTAACTTCTACAGAAACATTCAAGGAAACAGAGGCTTAGGTCACTTTCCTCTCAGGCCAAGGGAAGCTTGCATTGACAACTTGAGGTTTTCATTACAAATATGAGGGAAGTTATTCGAGCTAGGTCATGGTTGTTGTTGTTGAAAACCCATTTGGGGTTTTCTTGGCAAAGACACTGGAGTAATTTGCCATTCCTTCTTCAACTCCTTTTGTAGATGAGGAAATTGAGGCAAACAGGGTCAAGTGACTTGCCACACAGCCAATAGGTATCTGAGGCTGGATTTGAACTCAGGTCCTCTGAACTCTAGGCCCAGAGCTTTGTCCACTGTGCCACCTAGTCATGGACTCTTCTGGGAACTTAGAGCTGGGAGAGACTTCACAGTTCATTTGGTCTAACACTCTCACAACCTTTTCCCATTTTACAGATTGGGAAACAGAGTCACAGAGATATCAGAAGGATGAGGGGGTATCTCTAAAACACTGTAGAGAGGGAGGGAGAGAGTTGACTTCCCACTTTGGAAGACTGGGTTCAAATCTTGCCTCTTACATACTGGGCCTGTCTCTTACACTCTCTGTGCTCCCAGGCAAGTGGCACAATTACAAGGGTCCTTAACCTACAGGCTAGAAACATTTTTTTAAAAAATATATTTTGATAACTCTATGTCAATATACTTGTAATCTTATGCATTGAAAAACATTTTTTCTGAGAAGGGGGTCTATAGATTTCAGCGGAGTGCTGCCAGAGAGATCTGTGACACAAAATGACTTAAGAAGCCCTGGCTCAAGGCTCCATTTCAGAGTACATGTTGATTTGCATCGATAGAGCAAATTTCCTCACCAGGAGTTTCTTATATCAATGAAATCACCGTTCTGGTTTTTTAAAAACATAAAGTTTGATTATAATGAGTTTTTAAAGAAACATCTTGTTATAGCCTGGAGTCATGAGTGGGGTAGTGAGGAGGGGAATGTGTTGTTTAATTTTATTTGTTTATACATGTAGTTTCCAATTTTCCTTAACTTTGGGAATGCGGCCAGAGACAACACATGGATCTACTCCCAGCTTGGAGGTTATGGACCCAAGCCCAAAAGTGAAGGGGAAAGCTTGGTCAAGGAGATAGGGCTAGGGTAGCAGCTAAGGGTCACTAGGAAAGAGTGAAAGGACCGCAATGTTGCCAGCCATGCAGTGAGCTGGCATCTGAAAAAAAAGAAGGCCTTCTAGCTCCTTGAGTTTTCACCCAGAGTGTTGGGGTATGTGGGGGTACAGTGTGAATAAAGGCTGGTGCTGTCACCATTGGTTTAATTGGGAGGAGATTAAGCTAAGAACAAAGATTTCATTTAGCAAAATTCAGAATGTCCTAGCCTTGAATTGATGGTTCTGCAAAGTATGAGTGTGTGTCTATTTGCCTAGCCAGCACACATTGATGCAACAAATGAATGTTTTCCGATCTCATCTGGGATCTCTCTGTGACTGGCCAATTCTTTCTTCTTTTCCCAGATCACCTTTGTGTCACACTTACCGCAGCAATTACTCTAAGCTTTGTCTTCTCAAGCCACCTACCTACACTAGTGCCTCCCCTTCCTCTCAGCAGAGGACCTCACTTCACACTTCACTGAAAAGAAAAAAAAATTTGAAGCCAACTGTCCTGAGCTCTCCTCTCCAACTCCATGCATCCAAGCATCTCAGTATCATCCGTTCTTTTCTCTTTTAAAGAAGGTGGCATTTTGCCACTGCTCTCTATTTGGGTCCTTTCTCTCATCCCTTTGTTCCCCTCTTGATCAGCTCTTCTCTCTCCTTAAATTTCATTCTCTCCTAAACTGCTGACTCCTTCCTTGTTCCCCTAACACACGTTCAAACAGTAACTCGAGGGAGTGA